TTTTTTTTTTTTTTTTTTTGCCTCCTGAATACTGGCTAAATGAAGACCTTCTGCATAAATCTCTGCGACTACTTAATTAGATATGAAGCTTTTATGGAGTTGGTTTTGATTTAAGAATCAGCCGAACAACTCTCTCTGTTAATTTGACCAGATTACATCCGGAACCTACTTAAGCCATCTTTCCTCGATGGAAAGGTACAGAAACAAATTTAACTGTCTGGTTGGTGTTTTATTTGCAAATCCAATGTTAAGCTTATTTTATTGTTGCATGGAAGTGATTTATCTCTACCCTTCGTATCTTCTCTGCCACATTTCTAACAGCTAGAACTTGCAGTTAACGTTGGCAAGATGAGCATCGTAGGCTTAGACTTCGAAGATGAAACTGGAGATGGAGATGATAACCAGCAGCATATTTGACGCGTCCAATTCCTGTAGTACCATCTTTTTGAGCTGCAGCTCTCATCTGCTGCCTTTGAGTCACTCGAGCACTTTGACTTGAAAACTATTTCAGAAGTTAGGCCGGGATGTATTTATCTTGTTAGTCATGTAGTTTCAGGCTTATTATCTTGGTGTTGTGCCGCTTCTTGTAATTATAGTAACTTAAAAAGCTGCTATAGGTTTTGCTAATTTTCACTTTAGATTAAGATGTATTTCCAAGTGTTGACAATGTTATACTGGGGGATTCGAGCTCAGAGCTCAATTGTAAATATATGGTGCACAAAGTCAAGCTAAACTCTCGTGATTACTATTACGCTATGATTACAATTTCTTTACTCATCAAGTATAGAATGCTTTGCTTTCATCGTTGAAAGCATTTCCAGTACTAACAATTAGTGTACATTTGTATATTTTCTGTCATCTTTTACGACCTGAGACGGTTTTCTTCACTGCTCCAACAGACACTAAGAATTGATCCAGGGATGATAGGGTCCTCATGTCATCTGGAGGGAAATAGCTAGCAGCCTTTCCTAATAGTGAAGAGAAGAGAAGCGAGAGAGAAGGCCGAGTGACATAGCGCTCGCCCAAGAGATCATCAAGAAATGCAAATGCTGCTAGCAAATCTGACCTGCTTGCATTTATCGGAGCTGCAAAATGAGCAGGGATAATTCTTGTGAATCTCCAGTCTCGAACTATGCTGTCAATCCAATCTCTAACCTGAAGTTGTAAGGAATACACCATATTATCAGAAGAATAGCGGAAGAAGGCAATCAAAAGAACGCACTCCTACACTTTGTCCTGACAGGAAAAGGATATTAGTTGCTTCTCCCGGGATGATATATGGCCCAAACTGTTGTAGGCGACTCTAAAGATGAGGGGTAACACCATTGCTTGTGCATGCAGGCATCATTAAACATAGGATCCTAGATTTATGTTACTATGTGTTGGGACAAGGTTATCTTATCAGATACAAAAAAATTGCAACGCCGCCTCAGTCCCAAGCAAGTTGGGATTGACTATATGAATCCTCATTGTCCATGTCACTCCATTTAAACTCGTTTTGATCCAATATTATTCTCGTCTTTAGTGGAAGTCAATAAAGTTTTAGGCAACAGTTTTGCAAGAATGAAAAACAGTGAGGGGTTTATTGAGTGTTAGGCTGTGCCAAAGATTTGCACATTGATTGTTCGATGAGCCAAGATATATTTTATTATGTAAATGCGAGAAAGCATGACTTGCCTTTTCAGGAACTTTGCTGAAAACCAATGTTTTAACAATTGGTGAAACAATTAGCTTTTGTGACATCTGAGCAAAGCTAGCATTTGGCTCCAGTAGATTTGATGGACCTAGAAACAAAATCTGAAGAACCATCCTCTCCCATCCTGAAAAAATGCAGAAAATACAGATAAAGCAAATTACTGTGCAATTTCTTGGATCTGCCATGTTGATATTTAAGTATATGAAAGTGTAGCCTCTCTAATATCCGAGCAGGCAACTTAATATGCTTTTAGATGAGATTGTCACACAATTCAGGTGTTCATCAACTTCTTGGTTACCAGTAGAGGACTAACCTTTCTGTCGATTGATTTTGTTGTCAACAACAGGTTCATCAGAAACTTCTTTTCCTTTACTAAGTAGTTTAACAGCCAAACCATTCTCTGCAGATGCTAACAAGGATTCTTTGCTAATACATTCAGGTGGAGTCTTCGGGACAAATATCACAGCATCTGTCACCAGCAGTGTCCTTGACCGTTTATGATAGAAAGCCACCTCAACATATGGTCCAATTCCTAAAAACCAATAGGCAAAAGTTTATTAGATTTGAGATACAAGGTACAACAGCATAATTCGGAATTATATGAGTGTTGGGTCTGTTACCAACTTCTGGAGAGCTCAAAACCTTCTGCTTAATATCATCAGCCCATGGTGTCGACATATCCTCATCTTTTAGTGTTTTTGCACGGAAAATCCCAAAAAACTCAAGAGGCAAATTTAAAGGCCAACTCCATTGCCTTGGTGCTACCCATACCTCAGCCTTTGGGAACTTTCTGGAAAAGGGGCCAACAAATATTTTGTGCTCATATGCAAATGTAGGAAGGACGATATATTTCACTGGATAACCTAACTCTTTCACGAGCTGAAAAAGGAAAACACACTTGTAAACATCAACATTTTGTGGTTTTAATTTATATATGTTGCGGAAGCCAAATGTATATAGTGTGAATAAGTCACAACTACTATACCAAAAATT